GCTGGCGCAGGGGTTAAAGACAGTGCTACCAAGCAATCGCCAGCCACTGCAGCACAAGTTCGATCCCCAGCCCACCAGAGAGCAACCCACATGGTGCAGCAGACCTCTCCTGTCTCACCCGCTGCTCCCCTCAGTAGTAGATATAAGTAGATGTGCCTGTTCTGCTCCCTACTCTGTCTCTGGTGAATCCTCTCACCCCCACACTTCTGGCTTATACCCCAGTTCTTGTATGCATAAATAAATCTTTTAAAAAATAAAAGGAGCTTCCTAATAACCAAGTTCTCCCCTGAACTTGCACATCTCTCAGGCAGTGCTCAGGTAGCAGGTATGGAGGCAGTCAGCAAGCAGAGGGGGTGCTCACATAGCAGAAATCGGCACCAGGAGGAGGCCCAAGAGCTTCTCTGTGTCTGACACCGGCCGGAGCCAACGTGCTGGTTACTACGACTTCCCACCTGGAGGGTGGGGGACAGTAACTACCACTGCAGCAAGACAGTAGCCATCCCCCCGGGTCCTGAACCATTTCTTTCTCTGTTACACATTCTGCTCATGAGTCCCAGGAAGCTGGTTCAGCTCCCTTTCATCTGTGTGTCAGGTGAGCGATTGCTGTGACCCAGTTTGTGATAATATCATGTACACAACTGTATTGTGTATTGTTAAACCGCATTAGAATATGGTGATGGCTCTATTTGCGCACAAGGGACATTTTCTGGAATCTCTGCTGTGTGATTTGAGAATATTACTATGCTGCATATGGACTTGCCTCAAGTACTGCAGTTTAAAAAAAAATACAAAATTTCCACTAAAATGTAATAACTCCAAAATAGAAGGATGCAGTTTTGAACCTTGCTTCCTTTTACTTCCAAACCTGTACCCCTAAGAATTGTTCAGAACAGCACAGAAAATGTAAATTGTAGGACAGACTAAGTTTTATTTGAATGCAGTCTCTTGGTGGATGTGGGTCAAGCCAATCCTCTTAACCTCATTTGCTCAGATTGTTGCAGCTCTCCTGCCGCTTCTTATATGTTCAGGTGTTTGATGGTATATGTGGATAAAACACAACTGGCTAAGGTTATCCTGAAAGAATCTCAGCAGCGCCCAGCACACTGACAAGGGCAGCGATGACATAAAATCATTCAACTGTTGGAAGATTATCCATCCTCATTCTGTGCCTTTTCTGTTCCTGTTCTCTTTGGGACCAGCTTCCGATGAGTGATTTGACAGCTGGCTTATAATAGTTGCACAGTTTAGATTGTACATTTAAATTGTTTATTGGTGACCCTTGGGTTTGAGTAACCAGCATCTTCCCATCTTTGACAGGGAGAGTGTGCCCGCAGGGGCTTGCAGTCGGTGGTGGGGGGTCTTATTTCTTTCTTTCCCGCCACACTATCTCCCCTGCAGGCTGAGCTACTCTCTGTGGTTTGGGTAAAAATGTAAATGGAATATTACTCAGCATTCAAAAAAGATAAACACATGCAATTTGCAGCAACATGGATGGCGCTGGAAGGGATCATGCTCAGCGAAATAAGCCAGAAAGAAAAAAATACCGGATGGTCTCATTCATAGCAGGAATCTAGAAAACTTAAATAAGGGACCAGGAAAAAGAATAACTATAAGAAAGTGAAAATCAAAATCAACAAAAAACTATGAACCAGAGACATTTTTTGGGGGTTGGGGGGCGGGAGGGGAGGGATTGGGGTCAGAATGGGGGGGTTGCAATTGTATGGGGAATATAAAAATAAAATTTATTTAAAAAATAAAAAAATGTAAATGGAGAACTTTTGAAGAAATAAAAAGCAAAATGATTGTCAGTAGGCGAATAGCACGCAAAGGTGTATGCAAATACCTCGAGGTATGCAAACAGACCCGGGGGAGCTCTTGGTTTCCAGTTCTGAAGCCAAGGGATGGCTGCACTTTATTCTTAGAACAGGCTTCTCACCACTTCAGGCTTCAGACCACTGGTCCTTTCTGCCCTCAGCAGAATGCCCTGAGGCTTTTGGTTGAGATAATTCTGTTCCTCATCTCTCCTGCACTCTATCTCCTGGTTTCTGAAGTTGGCAGTTCTATGGAGTCTGGTTCTTTGTGTCCTACTGAGTGAAGTTGGGGAATTGAGGTGTCAGATGGAATTCTGATGGGAGATTTTGGGCAGATCTGGTGTCTTTGGTGTATAGTCTAGATCTAGACATGTGTCAGTGAGAGAGGAAGATCTTCACTGGGGTTTGAAGAAAGGTGGGAAGATATATTGGAATCTTTTGGAAAAGGTGAGATTTATATGCTTGTACAGTGAAGGCCTCAAGTGAAAATTATCATCTGGGCCTACCTGCTCCTGCTACTGATAGGTCCTCCACTGCTACTTGGGCTGCTGTGGACCATGACAGATGACCAGATCTGCTTCTTGAGGCCTGTTCTTTTTCTTGACCATTTGTTCATTCATTTATTCATTCATTCAAGAAACATTCATTCAGTACCATGTGCTAGAGCGTGAGTTGGGCAGTTTTGCTGAAAACAACCCCTCACCCCCCAGGCTCTACTCCCTGACATTGATGGTGCGTTAAAGGTGAACAGGCTTCGGGGGATCAGAGGGGCCTCCCACACGCTCAGAAACGAGTCCTCAGCTGACTGTCCATGCATGAGGAAGGGTCAGCTGTTGAGGGAGGAGCGGAAGGACCTTCGGGACAGTGACCATCAGCAGGTTGAAGATTCTTTTCAAAAGATGTTTTCTCTGTCCTCACACTGACTAAAGAAGCCTGGTATCATCTATGGGCATGTTTCTTGCCTGTTCACTGAACTCACTGACAACTTTGAGTCTCTTCTGCTCTGGGAATTGTTTAATTCTCAGGAAAGCATGTGGAAGCCACTGCTCAATTGATTGCAGGAAGGACAGAGGTGTGCTATTGGGTGGACACCTGTAAAGGGTCAGGAACGGACACGGTGCAGGTTTTCTGATCCCATGCAGACCGGGTAAAGGAGGAGTCAGAGCCCTCAGAGGTTTTGCAGGTCTTTTATTTGGGGTTCACCAGGCATATGCAGGCAGGGGTGCTGGGGGGCCAGGAGGCTGGCAGTTCTCCCAGCCCCCAGCAAGTCTTCCACTCTATCTGGGCTCTCCGGTGATCTCTCTCTCTCTCTCTCGGCTTCTCTTTTGGCTTCTTCTGCTTCTGTTGGCATCCCCATGACGCCGCCCTTAAAAGCCCAGTCTCAGCCCAGGTGAATCCCATCTACCTCTGCCCACACCCTACTCCAGGTGCCCGCCATCAGGCATGCATTCAGGACAAGGATCCATCATCTATCCTGATGGCAGGAGGGCAGAAAAACCTGATATTTTTCCTTACCCTACAACACCTTTCTGGAAAGTCTGCTTTTCTTTTTAAGGAACTCATAGCAAGCTTTGTAATGAAATCATTCTAGTTAAAATAATCCCTTACTAACTGATAAAAGCCTATTGCATCGTTTTGGGGATTTCCCACTAGATCTGTGTGGAATGGAGGGACCTGAGGTCAGAAGACTGCTCTAGAGGGAACTGTGTTAAAGGAATGTTTCAACAAAATGTAGTCAAACCCACCAGCCTGGTGCTATATTTTGAAGCAAAGGCCCAGCTTAGATCACGGCAGACTGCTCCACCAGGTTCCCAACATCCGGTGTCTTATCCTCTGTCTTGTGCCCCGGTACCGCCTTCTTCCTGGGACACAGCCACAAGCTGCGTTTTCATGTCTGGATTTTCTCACCATGACTGAGAGGGCTGGGGGTCTCGCACCACAAACAGCAGGTGCTCTTTCTGTCAGAGGACCTGCCACAGGTAAAGGAAGGGGCCACAGGTAAAGAAGGTAAAGAAAGGAGCTCTTTCCAAAGCCACTCTCTGGCATCTGAGCCTTTCCTCCTGTCTTTTCTGAAGTGAGGAGACAGGAGCTTTCGCCACAGCCTAGCCCATCTGGTCTAGGATCTCAGCGGTGAAAGCGCTACCTTCCTCCCACCTGCAGCTCGTGTTCCGTGAGTTTTGGTGGTAAACACTCAGGCTCAAGAGGTAGCGGCTGAGGGATTCTGGCCCTAGTTGATGCCTGCTCTGGAAATTTCGGAGGCCCTGGATTTTAGACGTTATCTGTCCTACTGGAGGCATGAAGAAAAGGTCCAGATCAGAGAAAGTTCTTTCAGGGGCTAAAGGTGGAGGGTGATACGTGGTGTTGGAGATAAGGGAGTTTGATCCTCCACGGAACCTGAGCCCATGACCTTGATTCCATTCATACCAGCTCAGGCAACTGAAGTTCTTAAGGGGTGGAAGTGGGAACGGTAAAGTAGGGGCACTCGTGGGACGTACACCCTTAGGAATCCGGCTGGTCTGAATTTCAGATCTGAGTCTCCCACTCCCAAGCTCTGTGGATTTAGACAAGTTACTTAACCTCTCTGATTGTCCATTTCCTTTTTGATAAAATGGAGACAGTTAATTTCAGGATGAATATTTAAGACGAATTAGTAAATGATTGAGATAAAAAGAGGGACACACACAAATAACAAATAGTGTCTCGCACTCAATAAAGGATACCTGAAATAATAGGAAAGATGAGCCAGGGGGGTGAGACACGTAGGTAACAGTGGACTTTAAACACATGACCTCCGTGAGCCATTTGGCCAAACCATTGACCTTCTGCACTGCCAAGTCAATAATAAAAGCAAAACAGCAACAACTCTGGGTTGTAGTGGAATGCTGGCATTCAGTGGCTAAAAGCTATGACTGACTCAGCCATGCTCAAATGCTGTCCACAGCCAGCGCTCTCTTTCCCCCAGGCCTGAGCTTGAAGCCTAATTAGTACTGCCTGCCTCCCAAGCGTGGGGCTCTGAAACCTTTGATTAGCAACACGTAGGAAATGGCTGGAGCAGTGGGAGAGCTAGCTGGTTGGTGTGCAGAACAGCTGGACTCAATTCACCACAGGGTGTGGGCACCTGCAGGAGGGTAGAAAAGCAGAGCCAATTCTCTGGGGGAGTGTTGACACTGCCAGAGGAGAGTGGCCACGGAGCCCACAGGGACCCCCCACCCATTCCATGGGGCTGGCCCGGTGTATGCCCTGCAGCTCCCTCACCCCTGGAGGAAGAGTGGTAAGGTAAGGGCAGGGGATGCCCAGTTTCTCTTGCCCTCTGTAAGAACAGTAGCTTCCATTGACTGAGTGCCTACAGGCAGGCCATTTGACCCCAAACCTCACGTTCTTAACCTCCCTGCTAGGAGAAACCAAAAAGGGAGTTGTTGCAAGTCCTCAGATGTGAAAAACAGGAGCTAGAGCCCTTCTTTGTGTAACACATCCTGGAGGTTGCTAGATGAGTATTTTCTTCTTTGAAGCTCCCAGAATGTCTAATCATGTCGTGTTTAACACTACGCGTTCATTCTGCAGCTCTCAGCTTTTTAAACTTTGCCCAGCAGGGTGGAAAAGTTGCTTTATTTTCATCTTAGAGATCCATACGGAGAAATTTGCATTAGTTATCCTTTGAAAAAATGGTAAAAAGCACGGAGTTAGAGTGCCAGGTAAGCATTCGTGGTCTTGGTGCCCAGAATCACTTTGATTTCCTTGCTAATAGTTAGGTGTGGGTGACATGTGATAAGATCTTTTTTTTGGCTAACACAGGTGTAAGGGCCGGACTGGACACAGTGCAGGTTTTCTGATCCCATGCAGACCGGGTAAAGGAGGAGTCAGAGTCCTTAGTGGCTTTTTGCAGGTCTTTTATTGGGGTTCACCATACATATGGCAGGCTGGGGGGCCGGGAGGCTGGCAGGCCTCCCAGCCCCCAGCAAATCTTCACTCTATCTGGGCTCTCTGGTGATCTCGGCTTCTCTTCAGCTTCTGCTGCTGCTGGCGTCCCCGTGACGCCGCCCTTAAAAGCCCAGTCTTAACTCAGCTGAATCCCATCTACCTCTGCCCACACCCTACTCCAGGTGCCCGCCATCAGGCATGCATTCAGGACAAGGATCCATCATCTATCCTGATGACGGAAGGGCAGAAAAGCCTGATATTTTCTTTACCCTACAACAGGCTTTTGGGGCTCTGTTATGTGAGACTCTGCTCTTGGGTACAGAGCTGAAACAAAATAGATGGAGTTATGGCTTTCGGTGCTTCTAATTACACACAGGATTCTAGAAAACATCTACATCAGTGTTCTTGCTGGGAAGACTACAAAAAAGCCAGCTCTGTCTCCGTGACACCCCTCTTGGACTGGGGTATCAATCTTTTTTGTGTTACCTTCAAAAGAGTTCTCCCAACTTGATAGGTTTTCTAAATAGAAACCCCCCCCCTTAAATTACCTGTCCTTCCTATTCCAACTTCAGCAGTAATTGAGCTCTATTCAGAGAATGTTTATTAAACCATTTTTATATGCTTAGCATAGTCTGGCTGTTTGGAGAGGTTTTTTTTTTTTTTTTTTTTTTAAAGTCACAAGACTGGATTCTTCCCCTCAAGGAGATTATAATTTCCTGGGAATATCTGGCCTTCATGAACAAAATATATTAGAAAAATCTAAGTGCTCATTAAATGTAGAGAAGTTTTAAAAGTGTTTTTTGGGGAATAAGCATATTAGTAGTGCAGTTCTCGCTGTACTATTATTACACTCACTTGACACAATCAGTGGGGATATTTGTTGCAGATCATTGCTTAGCATTAATAATGAAGACCTCCAATTTGTAATTATTTTCCATATGTATTAGGGTGGTTTCAGTATAAGCCCTAAACCCAGCACTGTTTGCATGCTGAAATGCTTGCTCAAACAAAATAACGGGGCAGGTGGGGGCTAAGCTGCTGTAATTGCAGCACTGCCTCCTGCTTGGGACCTGGAGGCCTGGGCTCAGCTCCTCCAAGCTCAAATCCCAGCTCCCCCACAGGCCCTGCCGACTGAGACACCTGGCGCGTTTGGGGGATTCAAGGAGTTAATCCCCTTGTAGCTGTGCTCAGCTGGCCCATCCGCTTCTAAGGCACCAGACAAGGGAGCAAACCCTGTTGGCTGGAGACAGAAGGAAGCCCTAGAACAGGAGCAGTGCTGCGAATTTTACCTTTGCCTGTCTCACCTGTTCCTTCTGCCAGCCCCACGCTAAGCCTCGCTCGTTTCCTCTTTCCGGTCACTGGCAAGCCTGTCCTAGGTTTCCTCTTAGCTGGCCTTGGGGTTTGCCTTTGGGAAGGTGTGTAACACCTTGATTCTCCTCTCTGGCCTTCCCACGCTCCTGAGGAAGCCGTCGTTCCTGGCTCGTGCCGACACCAGCTCACGCTGGTCCAAGCCCACCCAAGTTGGGACCCTCGGCCCTTCCCCTGAAGTGGGCTTTCCGGTCGTCCTTCAAACCTTTGTTTCAGTACCTCAACTCACGTTTCTCTCAGCAACTCTCACATCATTGCTTCTCCTAAACCACTCCTTGCGCTCTGTAGGGTAAATGAGTTAAAAGTCAGGCTGTTTTGCTCCCTCCTGCCGCTAGCGTGGACCGGGGGGCGGGGGCGGAGGCGTGGGCACCATGATGATGGGCACCTGAGCACTGGTGTGCACGTGCACAAATGCTCACACCTGTGAGGAGGGGCGTGGGATAAAAGGCAGCTGCGGCAGCACAGTGGGCCCTTTGGACCCCAGCAGACGAGACTGAGAACGCCGGAGAGAGGCCAGGGAAAGAGGCAAAGATTCACCAGGGACCCCTGCCTTGCCCCCTGCACCTGGTTTGTACTAGAATTCATTTTTCCCTTCCCAACACAATAACATTACAAATACTAAAAGTGCGTAAAAGTAGCGAATAATAATGCACTTCCAGGTCTATAGCTTCATAGTCAATAATTTGGCAGAGGTTGCAGCGTTGGCTTTCTCTGACCTTCATGGCTCTTTCCTCAATGACTTATTTTAAAACACGTCTCAAATATGTTATTTCACCCCCGTGTGCTTAAGAACACATCTCTAAATGGTACAGCATTCCTTTCATGTATCCACGAGGCTGCTCTCCTCTCTAACAAAATAAAAAACAATTCTTTAGTATCATCCACACCCTGATCAGTTACCAAAATTCTTTTAAAACTTGGTTTGTTTGAATTGGGGCCCACATTTCCTCCCCTTGTAACCATAGCATTCTCTTGCAGCAGGGAGCAAGCTGTCCTCTCCAGGGATGGCCTCTGTTTTGAAAAGACCTGTTTGCTTCTTTGTGGAAGCTTTTTCTCTGCACTGGGGTTGCATCTTCATATAGGAGTAGGGAATGTGTTTCCATTTATTTAAATGTACTTTTTAATTTTTCAATAGTGTTGAAAATTTTCCCTTGTGTAAATTTGCATATTACTTGCGGAGAAATATGTTTACGTTTATCATTTTAAGCTGGAGGCTTCTTTTTTTATAGAGCATAACAGTTTAGTGTCTGTATATATGAAAGCTGTTGATTTTCATCTATAAGTTTTATAGCCTGCTAATTTACCTCCATCTCTGATTTTTGTAGTGTCTTCATTGTTTTTCTTGAGTTTCCCTAACACACAAACTTTATTTAAAAATATGGACTTGGTGTTTTGTTTTTTCTTGCAATTACATTATCGCGTCTACTTCTGTTGTCTAATTTCTCAGATATCTTGTTAAACAGCAGTGGCATTCGTGGGCAACCATGAATACCAGGAGGGTATTCATGGAAATACCCTCCTTTTGCCCCATTAAGTAAGATGCATATTTGACTCTTTAGTGAATGAGTGTGAGTCTGTGTGTGAGAGAGAGAAACTGAGGTTATGATTAGCAATAAATGTTGAAATGTTTCAAATGCTTTTTGGCATTGTTGAAAGTGGTCATGTGATTTCTCCTTTTCCCTATTGCTGTGATTAATTATATTATTAGATTTCCTCATATTGAATCACCTTGTATTCCCAGAATAAACTCTTAGGTCATGATGTCATTTTGTAGCATGACTTAAGTTTTTTACATCAGTTTTCATTAGTGAGAACCATATACCACTTTCTTTTTTATGATCTTTATATGACTCTTAAATAGCAATGAATATTTTATATTTGAAATTAAAAGTTTGAATGGTTTTCCTTCATTTTCTGTGATCTACAACAAATTTAGTAGGACTTGGACTATCTTATTTCTAGTTGTTTGATGGTATTCTACTGTAAAGCCATTTGGGCCTGATACTGTTTTAAAGAGTAGCTTTTTAAACCCCCCCCCCAGTTACCTATGTGGTAACTGGTTTATTTGCGCACTCTCTTTTAACTTTTTATTTTGATTGACGTTGTACATTTCACGTGGGTTCAAATACTTGCATAGAATTGTGCCAATATAATTATACAGATTTTAAAAAACTCATTTGTAAGAATTGGTTATTTTACATCTGTCATGATTCTCTTCTATATTTGTGCTTTCTACCCATTTACTAAAACAATTAGTTGTGGCTTTGTTCATTTTATTCATGTTTTTCAAAGGCCCAGATTATTAGTGTGGGTTTTTTCCTGTTTTCTAACTCATTTCTGCATTTGCCTTTATTAAAACTTCATTTTGCTTTTTTGATAGTGTTTTTTCAGTCCACTTTTTTCATTTTTATTGCTAAGATAACAAAGTTAAGAGTTTATATTTATACATTTATTTTAGCTATATGGAGAAAGGCTTCATACAACATTTAAGAAACCCCAGATACAATGTATCATTTTAATTATTGCTCTCTGGAAATTCTGCAGGGTTTTTTTTTTTTAATATCTATACATACTCCTTGATATATGATTTGAGATTTTTATTTTTTGAAAGATTTATTTATGCATACAAGAGCTGGGGTACAGGCCAGAGATGTTGGGGGGTGGTGAGAGGATTCACCAGAGACAGAGTGGGGAGCAGAACAGGCAGACTGACTGAAATACACTGCTGAGGGGAGTAGCGGGCGAGGCAGGAGAGGTCTGCTGCACCGTGTGGGGTGCGGTGCTTAACCCCTTGCACCATCAGGGAGGTCCCTGATTTGAGATTTTTAAAAAGCATTTCTAGGTAGAACTACAAAAGATTTTATTAATTTCTAGTTTCATTGCACTTTGGTCAGAATATACTATTTGTATTTTCATTTTGTTTTATTGCAACTTTCCTCCTGGCTTAATAGAGTATTGATTTTCGGATATGTTCCATGTGCTTTCTTAAA